GCTATCTCGAATCTTCTATGGACTGTAGTAAAAGTAGGATATAGAAAGGTGTTTAAGAAGAATATTAGAAGAAAAAAAAATTCCAGTATTTTTCCTCCCAAGAGCTAACCTGATCAGAAGAAGATGCTAAGAAAAAGCCCCCTTATGTGTGCCAGGCATTGAAATTCCTACCTCACTGCTTTACCTATTTCATTCTCACAGTAACCTCAAGACTTCGATATCATGACTATACCCACTGTACACATTTCAGAATTAGTAAATAGTAGAGACTGAAGGCAGACCTAGTTGGTGCAGTGCAGGCACACATATGTTTAACTACTGACAGCTGTTGGCCTCCCTTCCACTGTGAGATGCTTCAGACGTCAAGGAATTTCTCACATGTTGCCTCTTGGGGTAGAACAGTAACCTACCTGTCACTTCTCTTCTTTAGCCTCAGTCTCCATGGGGAGATCAGTGGTTTTGAAACTGGATTTTAGCAACAAAACCCTTTTCCCAATTGAAATCTCATTCAAAAGACTGGCATATAAAACACATGAAAGTAGAACTGCTCTGATTGGAGTGTGTGTATGTGTGTAGGGGAGTGGAAGATGCTTATCTCTGCTAATGAGATACCCACCTTCATTCTCCCTATGGTGGTACCCTTGGGGTTCTGTGGGATACAGTTTGAAAACCATTTGAGCATGTCACCACAATGCCTTCTAGCCCCAATGTTTGAGGAAGCTCTGATCTGCACCAGGTCAGGATAGGGAGCATCTCCTCAGCCCTTTGGGGCTAGAACTTGGCCTTGTACAGATGGGTGCAGGGGCCAGTAGTGCTAGCTGAGCTCTGGACACATCCTTGACCCTCATGAGTCCCCAATCCATCCATCGACAAAATGTAGCGGGGGTTGATCTGGATGATCACTCAGGCCCCTCTGCCTTAAAGAAATGAGGTGGGGTGAGGATGGAGTCACAAGCCCTGAATTACTGGGGATGAGGAAAACAGTAGAGGGGATGAGCGAAGTCTACAGAAAGTGCCTTCAAGGAAAAGGCACCGGGGGAAAGAAGGTTTATATCACCTCAGGACATACAGAAGCTGCAAAAGGAACACAAAGTCTCAGGGGAATGGGCAGGCCTGCCAAATGGGCAGATCCTAATGAATCAGCCCCAGGTCCTGGATTTTAAGGACACCTCCTACTCTTTTTCTCATCCCTGACATTCTCTCGGAGAAGTACATCAAGGTTAACGACTGGATTGTCTAATGGATGTCATAGACCATAGACTCTTAGGACAAAATCATAGCCATTTAGAATAATCAATTTTGGGAGTTAAGACCATTTGAGGCATAGAATTTTAGAGTAATAGAACATTAAATACTTGAGAATCTCTGACTATTAGAATCACAGAGCTTCAAAACCGTATAATCTAAGCATCATAGACACTCAGAGCTATTCTGAAAATAAGAGAAACATAGAATCCTGGAAAAGATGAGCCAGAGGGAAGGTCACAGAGTCCAGTGGTGCTCAGATGCTGAGCAGGGACAGGAGTTCTCAGTAAAAGAGGCCTGCCTGCTGGGACATAGCTGTCTGGGCCTCTCTTAGCCCTTAGCCCAGCTCCAATGGCAGGTACTCGGAAGAACCACAGGACCACAGAGGACATTCTGCTGCTGGCTGATTGAGGTCCCCACTACCTTCCAGGGAGCTCGCAGGAGACCATCTTTACCCCAAGGGCTCTGCAGAGCTGTCTGCCAGGAGTCCTGGGGCCTGACAGGGACTTAGCGACTGTTTGTACAGAGGGAAGATGAGGCTTAGAGAAAGATCCAGTGGACTTGCACTCCATCACTCCTAGGAGAGTGTCTGTTGGAGTGACCAATAGATCTCTGTGGTCACAGATAGAGACAGAGCCAGACAGGAAAGCAGAGTTCCTGCTCCCTTGCATCCCCTGCTATGACCTCCCCTACACCTGTCTCATATTCTTTCCTGTGGGGACAGCAGAGAACATGGTCATGGCCATGGGAGAAATCTGAGCTGGTCATGCCCCATCTTTACACAGATATCCCAACCTTCCTTCACTACCTAAGCCCCTCTTGAGGTATGGGCTGTGGGATCCACCCCTCTGTTCTCCTATGGAAATGCTCATGTGATACTCCAGAGACAGAGAGCCATTTAGGGGAGATACCATTGACCCTGTCACAGTTAGAAGATCTTGTTGAATTGACTGCCCACTGTGCAGATTAGAAGATAGAGGCCAGAGATCTCTCCTGGGTAACTATAAAAACTGCATATAATTCTAGGAGTTTTCGGAGGCTCCTGAGCCCAGAGCCTTGGAGGGTATACTTGAAGAAGTTTCAGAAATAGCCCCTTCTTCATTTTTCCCTCCTGCGCATTCCCTTTCCCTGTAAAAGATATCTGTCCCAGGCCTAGAGACCCGGACTTTCTGCCTAATTTAGTCATTCCTCCTGGTCCATCCACCTCTCCATTGGTGGCCTGAGTGGGCCAGGCCAGCTAGTGTTACTGAAACCAGCCCTGGCCTGGGCAGCCTTAAGGAGATGGAAGAACAATTCCTCCCACATCAATATTTATTGCCTGAGAGCTGCTGGAAGCAGATCATCATGTTCTTAGCCTTCAGTTCTTTTTTAAGAACCTCTCACCCCCTTCCTTCCCGACTCCCCATCCCCAATGTGCTGACAGAATGAATCCAGACAGCCAGACAGGTTCACAGCCGGGGAGCCAGGGTTTCAAGGCATCATGGAGGCATAGCTCTTAAAACCAGAATCTCCAAATCATAGCAGCTTCAACTCAAGGAACCATGTATTCTCAGAATCTGAGACCCAGAGAGTATTACTCCATGAATCTAACTTCAGCATCTTACGTGACAAAACAGAATGAGGAAGTGACTTGCACAAGGTCACACAGCTGACATTTGACCGAACCCAGCATAGACAAGTCTCCCACCCCCAGTTTTGCTTCTTATACCTATTCAAGGGTCAAGATCACTCTATTGCCTAACTGGCTGTTCTTCTCTGCTCAAGTTTAGGGCCCAACTTGGAGAATATGAGTAATTACCAGCCTTTCCTCTTCCTCTATGATCACCCCATTTCCAAGAACACTTCACCAAGTTCCAGGAATTCCATCTCATCCAAATTTTGGCCTGAGCTAGACAGAACCAGTAAGGACCATCTGTGGTTCCAAACTCAAGCCTTCTTCTCCTGAAACTGGCCACTCTCCAGTGCCTGCTGCACTCAATCACAGCATCAGCTTAACCCTTCACTGTCTTTGGGATAGCCCCTAAAAGAGCAACATCCAAGTCCATAGAGCCTACCTCTTAGGGTGTCTCCTGGATTCATTCCCATCCCTCAATGGCTCAGCCACTGATAGCTCCTACTTGACCATCATAAAGGCTGCTTCATTGGTGGCCCTGTTGTCAGCTTGTCTCCACATACTCCTCTTGTTCTGCATAATCTATCCTCTCTCTAGTACCCAGTGATTGAGCCATGGGACTCCACTACTTACCTTCCTTCCAGGGCTATCCATTGCTCTTTAACCTGGCAGTGGAGGCCTTTTCTGTTCCAGTCTCTGCTGGCTGTTCTAACATTATTTTCCTTTGATCTCCCTCCCCTCGTACACATCCTCCTCCCTAGTAGGGAGGTTTGGTTCAGAAGGGCAGTATGGGTCTGGGAGTCAGGCTTGGACTCAAATGCCAGCTTTTCTAGAGAGCTAATTTAGCCCTTTCTAGGCCCAAACTCTCTTCCTCTAAGAAAAAAAGCCCTATCCTACTGGGCACCAAACATATTCGAATGCACCAACCTGCCACAATAAGTTGAAATCTTCTTGCTGCAAAATATTTGACAGGATTTTTATAAATTATCCCTTTGAGATTGCAATTGCTTGGCAACAAGTAACTTGCTCAATTTATGATTATCCATGATTTCTCACTAATCACCATCCATACTTGGGAAAAGAGAAAATGTAATCTGCAAATTTTCAACTTATAATGAAATGGATATGACTATTAACTGAAAATTAATAAAATTAATGTCAATGAAATATAATTCAACTTTTAAAAGAATTTTGTCATCTTTTTTTGTATTTTGGAGTCAATTTATTATTTTTTAGGCCTTTATGTTTTTGTGAATCCCTGGAAAACCTGTAGGCTGCAGGCCTGGAACCATTTATCCTGCTCAATTACTCACATGTCCTCTCCTCTCCTATCCTTGTGATCTTAAGTAAATCTCTTCACCTGGCTGATCCTCAGGTCCTCTTCTGAGGAGAGGACCACCTATCCCAAAAGGTGATGGGGGGATTCAATGAGATATCCTGAAAGCAACATACCAGGTGGTTGTTACTTGCCCTCAAATCTATGTCCTCATTAGACTGAGCCCTATTGAGTATAGAGAAAATGTATGATCTTTACATGGTCAGTATCAGCCTGAGCCCTGACCCAGAAAGACATTCAGTACATGCTTGGTCCCTTCAATGTCCCCAGAAAGGCCTGGTTCATTTCCATAGGAAATCCTTTGCCCTGCTGTTTTCAAGCCTAGAACACCCCTCCTCCTTTCCAAGTTTCTACACATCCTTCAAAGTGCAGCTCAAATCCTTCCTCTTCAGGGAAGCCTCCTAGACCCTCCTATCTAATTCTTAACATCCCCATAGCACTTTCAGAATTTACGATAAAAAGCTTTAAGTGGTCGGCAGAGGAGAAGTAAGTGCAGTGTTTAGAGTAAAGGACATGGACTTGGATAGGCTTGGGTTCTCATGTCAGCTCTGTCCTTTGCTGGCTCTCTGATCTTAGGTAAGTCACTTCCACTCTCTGGCCCTTAATTTCTTCACTGCAAAAGGGCTAAGTAATGCTCACCTTGCAGAACTGTTAGGAAAATGCAGTGGTTGGATCCCAGGCATCAATGAGTTTGGTAAGCAGTAAAATGCAGTGCCCAGAAGGGATAAAATTTATGGTTACAAAGGAGGACAAGAGGGTGGGGGCTGGAGCCCAGGTTGAGTGAAGGCATGGGGGATGGGGGCTTACTTTGCTTACAGACGAAGTTATAATTGACAAGATTCTTGAACTGAAGCGAAGCTCCTGCTTCTCCTTCGGCATCTCCCTGGGGAAGAAGAAGTAGGGAATGGAAGCCAGGGCCACTATGCCAGCAGAGGTGAGGAAACTCAGCCACCAGGCACCCACCCATCGGGGGTCCTTTGGCGTCAGGTGGATACCACCTGGAAGAGAAAAAAATGGTGATGTTAGGGTCAGGGTGGGTTGTCACTTCTAGCCACCACTGTAATGCTTGTCTCTGAGACATAAGTCAGCCTGGAGCAGCCGAGAGACATGTGGGCTGGGAGTTTGGAGACCTGAGTTCTGGCCATGACTCTGCAAGTTATGGCCTATGTGGCCTTGGGCATGTCACTGATCCTTTCTGGGCCTCAGCTTCTTCAACTACTAAGGCATTGTAGTATAGTGGTTAAGGCTTTAGAATGGATTGCTATATCTGAATTCCAAACCTTTGGGCAAGGTAAAAAAAAACCAAACCCACTGCCATCAAGTTGATTCCAACTCATAACAACCCCCAATGGGTTTTCAAGGCAGTAAATCTTTACGGAAGTAGATTACCCACGGAGTGACTGGTGGGTTAGGTTGGCAGTCAAATGCCTTAGGTATTGCACCATCAGAGCTCTTTGGGCAAGTTACTTAACCTCTTTTTGTCTCATTTCCTTCCTTTATAAAATATGGATAGTAATAGTACCAACATCATAGGGTTGTTTCGGGACTAATACATGTGAAGCACTTAGAATAGTGCTTGGCACATGGTATTGCTATGCAGGTGTTTCCTCTTATTAGTATTAGTATTACTATTATTGCTCTGGTGGTACAATGGATAAGGCATTTGTCTGCTAACCAGAAGGTCAGCAGTTCAAACCCACCAGCCACTTTGTGGAAGGAAGATGGGACTATCTACTTCCGTAAAGATTTACAGCTTCAGAAACCCAATGGGAGTCGCTGTGAGTTGGAATCAAGTTGATGGCAGTGAGTTTGGTTTTGCCTTATTATTGTTATTACTATTAAATACATGATTGAAACTACTCTTGTAATTCTCAGATTTGTATGATGATTAAAATCACCAGGGGTGCTTTTCAAAAGTACTGGGTCTCACCTAAGACCTATTTAGAACTACCACAGAGCAGGTTGGGAAGATAGGCAAGGAATCTGTATCTTTGACAAATTCCCCAGGTAGTTTTGATTCCCCACCCGGTTTATCTAGGACTAGATTATCCCAGATAATTCCAGCCTTCTGTCTGGAAAGTACAAATCTCCCATCAAAGCTCTTGGAGCCCAAAGCTGAGTTGAGTCATCCTCCTTCAATCTCCACAGTATCTGGAAAGCCTTTATAAAAATACATGATAAGACTGCTTCCATTGTGCAGGGCTGATACCCCAGACACTTGATCATGCACTTCTGCTCCAAGGAGCCAGAGCACACAGTTAGCACTCAGTAAACGTGTTTGTCAAGCTGGGGTTGGATTGATTTTGGCATTGATTGTGCTTGGTTTCCCTCTCCATTTATTGTTCCTCCTGCCTCTGTGCCAGACTGGTGAGAATTCACACACCCACATTCTCACCTCTGAATACATCCGCACATACTTATCTTTGCCTGCAGCCGACCTGATCCTACCACTCTATGAAATCCCCCATAAAGAAAGAAGAACTAGGGAGGTGGCACCTCAGTCCACATCTGTGGGGAAGTGTGTGTCTAGGGAATTTTGACTCCCAGGACTTCCTTCAAGGGAGAAGGGAATTGCAGCCAGAGTTCAGATCTGGCTTCTGTGCCCAGCTTTCTAGAAGGAAGCAGGCTGGGATGGGGCTATCTTTCGTGACTTTAGCTCAAAGCTGCCCAGACCTGGCATGGCTGGAAGTACCCTTGACAAAAGTCAGAGGACAAGAAGCAGCATCTGTATGTCCAATTAGCCATACACATATCACTGTGAGGCTTTTTTTTTTTTTTTGGGGTGGGGGGACTTGTGGGAAAATCTCCACA